GAAAAGAACGTATGAATAAAAATATGTTGCTTTGGTGCAAGTCTGGTAACAAAAATGTTTCAGTGCTCCGACGTCCTGTGGCGGAGACGTTATCTAGCCGACATAGTATCACTACATTATGCAACTTCTCAAAGGTCGTATCCAACTGAGAACTACTATGTGTGCAACTACAACTACTGTGGATACCAAAAAAAATGTGACTAGCAAAAAAAAGATAAACTTAAGCAAAATCATCATCTAGCCAACTTAGTATGGCTGTGTTGTGCAATTTCGCAATGATCGTGTCCAACTTAGACTACAACCATGACCAACTTAGTACAACTGTGTTCTATCAAAACTATTTCCATTGTCTATAATAATCCTACAATAGTTCAGACTATTTCCATGTCCTAACTGAAAATGATTTAGCGAAAGTTTCAGTAAACTGTTCGTCAGACTAGTACAGTAGTTTCGAACACTGTTTTCCAAGCACAAGGAGATTAGCACTGACTCAACTGCAAACAGCACTGCTATACACACGATTTTATACACATGATTTGTGGACGACGCTAAAATTACAGCGTACGATGCATGGCAGCAGCACTGGTGCATCGTTGGATATGATTGTCGGCTGCATGTCATGCGTGCAGTTTCGGCTACACATCAGTTTGGAACTGCAGATATGAGGAGAAGAGTAGGGAGTTTAAGGCCTCGATCTGACCAGATGGCGTCAAGACGGAGCGAGATTCGATCCCCGCGGCTGTAGCGCACGCACCTAGGGCTCCCTCGAAGCCAAGGCATGCTGGCCGGCCGCGGGGGCGCGGGGGAGAAGGAAGGATCGCCGGCGTCCTCGCCGAAGATGAACTGGATGGAGTCGATCGAGTCGGGGCGAGATCCGAGGCCCGCGGTTGTGGCCCGTGCTTCTAGGGCTCCCTCGGCATGCGGGCGATTGTCGGGGAAGCGGGGAGAAGGAGGGCTCGCCGGGGTCGCTGCGGCGGCGGCCGCCGCCTCGCCTCGGTTTGGTGGAGAGAGTGAGCGAGCGGAGCAAAAGAAGGAACCAGAGCCGCTGTGAGCGAGCGGAACAAAGGGTTGTCGGCTAGCGCGGCCGCTCGTTTCCACCAGATGGTGGCCGGCCGCTTTTTAGATTTTAGGCAGTTTTAATACGAGCTCTTCAATTGGACCTTCGGTTTTGTACGATCTCTTCAACACTATAAAGGTTTAACAAAGGCCTAGATACAATACACCAACTTGCTGCTAGCAGTAAACAAATGGCATGCATACTGCACAGCTTCAGAGTTCAGTAACCAAACCAAAGCTGATAGGAGTAATAAAATGCTTCTGAAGGAAGTAGGACCAGTGCGTGTTTGATAGACCATTTCTTTTTTGACGCGTCAACGGCGGGCTTACGCCTGCCTGAACCTTTATTACCAAAATGATCAGACAAAATTACATAGAGAACCAGAGATACAGGCGGGTGGGGAGGGAAGCGGGGAAGGTTACAGTGAGAGCTTAAACTATAATCTCGCAGCTAGGTGAAACAACATGGAGCCCCAGTCGCGAAGCAGAATCTGGTTGGCAGAGTTGGAGCAGCGATGAGACCAGAGGCGAAGGTCTTCTGCGGCTGAGCGAGCCACCAGGTGCAGACTTTGATGGTCATACCTGAAGACCTTGGCGTTCCGTCTTCTCCAGATATTCCAAAGCACGACCATCGGGATAGTTGACTGACACTTGTTGTTTATATCCCCCTCCTAGGCGTGAAGCAGATCCTGAGGAGTACCTTGACATAGACTATTTAGTTCTTCCCAAATGGGTGCTAGCAGGTGGCATTGGAACAACAGGTGAGTGATAGATTCACAGTGGTTACAGAAGGGGCATGTGTCGATAGTAGCAATGCCCTGGCGGAAGCGGCGTTCATTGGTGAAAAGGCAGTCCTTGTGAGCAAGCCAAATGAAGATGCGACACTTGTTCGGGGCATAATTTCTCCATATCGCCGGCGCCAGCTGGTCCCTAGGACGTTGCTTCCAAACTGCTTTGTATGCAAGCTTATTGGCGAAAGATTTCCCTCCGTTTCTCATAGTTCTTCTGTCAGCAGCCTGCAAATTCAAGTTTACAGTAGCCAAGGTAGCATGCAAAGTAATCAGATCGCAATTTGCCGCATGCAACAATCGAGGAGCAAGGTCTAAGGTTAGGTTGTTCGAAGCCAAAACCCTAGCCACCGAGGTGTGCGGTCTGGTGGAGTGGGAGAAGAGGGCAGGGAATTGCTGGGCGAGGGTGGTGGTGGAGTGAGGAATCCAAAGGTCAGACTAGAAAGACGTCGTTGAACCGTTCCCAAGGTGAACCATTGTAATGGAGCAGAAGAAGTCGAGCCCTTTTAAAATATCACGCCAAATTGGAGAGTGCGAAGAATGGGATATCCCAAGATCATTCGAGGGAGACCAGCCATATTTGGAGCGAAGGTAAGGAGAGTCCTGGGTTGACTCGGAGGTATGAATTTTTGATAAGTGGTGGAGGAGGAGACATTGGTTCATATGGTCTAGGTTCGTGAAGCCCAGCCCTCCATGAGAGAAGGGGGCGCGGACCAGGTCCCAAGCAACTTTGCATTGGCCACCCGTAACAGAATCTTGCCCGACCCAGAAGAAAGCACGACACCGTTTGTCTATCTCTTGCAGGATGCCCACTGGAAGTCGAAGAACGCTCATAGCATAGATCGGGAGAGCGTGAAGGACCCGCCCGGACAAGAACAGCCCTGCCAGCAAGAGACAACAAGAGGCCTCTCCACCCAGCCAAACACCGGTCAACCTTGTCGATGATGAAGAAGAAGTTTGCAAGGTTTAGTTTATGGGTCGAGAGTGGCAATCCCAAGTAAGATTGGGGGAAGGAGGCTACCGGACAGCCAAAAATTGCCGCGAGTTCCGTGGAAAGGTCGTGGTCTACGTGAATGGGGGCGAAGGTGCTTTTTTGAAAATTAATGGTGAGCCCCGTGGCCTCAGAGAACTGGGTCAGGATATGTTTGAGAGTGTGAAGCTGAGCCGCGTCTGGCGGGAGGACGATAAGAGTGTCGTCGGCATATTGAAGGACCGTGCAAGGAAGAGAAGCGTCGAGAGGGTGAGAGAGTTTCCCGTTGGCAGCAGCCTGGATGATAAGTCTCTTAAGGACATCTGCGACAATGATAAAGAGATAAGGGGAAAGGGAGTCCCCCTGTCTAAAACCTCGGCGGCATTGAAACCAGGGTCCAGGTTTCCCATTTAAAAGCACAGAAGAGCTGGCTGTACGGTTCAAGTTTTCAATCCAGGAGCACCAGAGAGGTGGGAACCCTTTGGCGTGCATAATCAGGGACAAGGCTGTCCATGAAACTAAATCAAAAGCTTTGTGGAAGTCTAATTTGAGGACAATAGCCGGACATTTCCGTTTGAAACAAGTTTGAACGATATCCGCAGCATGGAGGAAATTGGAGGCAATCCCGCGGCCCTTGATAAACCCAGTCTGATCATAGTGGATGAGGTAATCGATCAGGGGCTGGGCCCGAATAGATAGACATTTAGACGCAAGTTTGATGGAGCAATTTTGCAGAGAGACCGGCCGGTAGTTCTCCGAGCCAGTCGCATCGGCCTTTTTGGGAAGCAGCACAATGTGAGCTTGATTAATACGCTTAAGATCTGCCCTGCCCGAATGGAAATCGGAGAGCAAATTGAACAGATTCGACTTAACGAGGTCCCAGTTAGCCTTATAAAAATCCAGGTCAAGCCCATCTGGACCCGGGCTAGCGTTATCATTCATGGCCCAGAGGGCGTCCTTGAGCTCGTCCATGGTGAACGGCGGTGAGATATCTAAGGCCTGGGTTGTGGTAAGAGAGTTTGGCAGCAAGAGATTGGAGAGGTCAAGAGATGTGGATACGACAGGTTGAACCCCCACGAGATTTTTGAAGAAATTGAGGAGGACAACCTCTTTGTCGGAATGAGCAGTAAAGGTTGAGCCATTGCTAGAGAGGGTCTTAATCTGGTTTTTGCGATGGCGTACCGAAGCGCAAATATGTAAGTAGGCTGAGTTTTCGTCCCCAAGGACACCGTCTTTGATCTTTGCCCGCTGCCTCTGCCTCCAATAGGCAGCGATGACCGCATTGTGACGGTGGAGGGATAGTTTGACTGCCGTCCTAAGTTGAGCTTCGATCGAGGAAAGCAGCCTAGCTTCTTCTAGCTTATCCATGAGATTAATAGTAGTATGGCAGTTTAGTGCTAGAATCTTGAACGATCTGCGACCGGAAACCCATTTTTTGGCCATGCTTCTCGTGCGCTTGATCTTAAGGGAGATGAGACCAGCAGATCCAAGGTGCAGGTGCCTGGTACCGACGCTGTTTCAGTTAACAGCAACCTTGTCTTTGAATTGGGAAGGATTGCGAGATAGAGGTTACCGCCGTTAAAAGAATGGGGACGTGTTCGGAGGTGGTTCTGGTCACCGAGGAGAGCGAGGTGTCTCGATAGACTGTTTCTTAACAACAGTGCAGGATCATCACAGACTAGAGACATGCCTAAGCTAGACCAAAAACCATGTGTGCACTTTCTATAATCTAGATCTACATACGATCACATCACAATGGTGGCAAGAAAAAAAAACAGTATTTGGTGCAGTTACAGATACTGCAGTTTCATCCCAGCGGCTTGCAAACACACTCAGACAGAGCACTTACGCATCAGTTCGAGCCATCGGGTGTCCTGTTGCACAAATATTGGCAATAAAAATCTTTCGTGTGACAACGTGTCGGGCATAAAATGTAGCGAATATCTCCAGATACAGGTGCATTTCATACTGTTTTCCATCCCTCTTGCCAAGGGATTGGAGTTAGGTGCTAAAAGATATCTCCCATTCCCTATCTCAACTGTGGTCATATACTCCTACAGATTTGCTATAGTTCTTCCTATCCGTGGTACAACATCATAAGCACTCTGATATACACTGACGTTTAGCAGCATTGCAGGACATACCACATAATGGCAAATTGGCAAGTAGCGACCAAGCGTTTTTCTTCACCTGCTGCTGTCTCCCTCTAGTTCTCTTCGTATGGTCTCAAACAGCATCTCGTTCCATGTATCTATAGGTCCTGGCATGCACCAATGCAGACAATCCTGGGGTGGAGGCTTCCCATCTGGTCCTCTTTGAGTCTTCTTGTTTGGGTCGGGACTTCTGTATGGACCAGGATGCCCGTCAGCTCTCAACGCAAAGGGCTCAGTGATGTCCATCAATTTCAACTTGGAGCTATGTTTCCCAGAATTCTGCACTGCCTTTCTGAAGCCTGCAACTTGTTTCTCATACATTGCATCCGTGTATCCGTTCCTCACCACCGCATCCAAGGGCTTAACCTTCCCGGTGCATGACCCACCAGTGTTCCATGCCCCGCCTTCATAATGATCTGGAGAGTATGTGCGCAGAACAGCTATCCCTGTGAAATTTGGGTGGGTCGCCAAAGCAGTCAGGCAAGTCTCAACTGACACACCAAATGCGCCAACGTTGTTTATCTGCATCTTTCCAGCTTGTTGAGGCCACCAGAGCTGCCCTCCAACAACATTGCCATTCTGGATATAGGCTGACCGTTTGGCGAACCAGTGTCCAGATGACAGGACAAGTACATCAAAAGAAGCGATAAATTGCATGAACGTCTCATCTGCTACATCCAGGAAAACCTTATCAAGACCCTCAGGAGCAAACCCCACAGCTTCAATTGATCTGTGCACTAACCAAGCAGACCAGATGCGGATAATAGTTGTTTTGGTTGACCTGAAGATCCACCTGTTCATCCTGCGGCTGCCACGGTCTACTGGGGCTTCTACCTGTCAAAAGGAGAACATAACGTTGATGCCAAGATAAAAAATCAAATAATATGTTGCTCTATGAAATGAGCTACAAGTACAGGATCACTAAGTTGATTAGGTTGATCTGAACATTCCAGCAAGTAAAGGGAAGAAAACCCTTCAGATGTGTTCCATTATAGTACACAGACAGGTCACACATAATGATGAAACCAAAGGGAAGCAATAAAGCGTCAGAAACTCAGAATTATGCTTTGATCTTAGAGATATACTCCCTCTGTAAACTAATATAAGACTTTTTAGATCACTATCTTAGTTTACAGAGGGAGTACTTCCTAATTCCTAAGAGAAGAATTTACAAGATGTGAGGGGCCTCATAACTTGACAAAGTACACACTTCCGAGCAACAATCTTATCTCAGAAAACTGCCTCTGCATAAATTATGTAAGGATCCATTATCAACCGCTAAAATCAACAATCAGTATAGTGAAGTTGCAGAGGCCGGGGGTTTAACCTCCTTTTCCAAAAAAAAAAAAGTATAGTGAAGTTGCCTTTCAATAAAAGGCACGATGAAAAGCAACTAGCTTTGCTTCTACATCAGGAAATTATAACGCTCTCTACTGCTTCACTAAAAGTATAGTGAAGTTGCAGAGGCCGGGGGTTTAACCTCCTTTTCCAAAAAAAAAGTATAGTGAAGTTGCCTTTCAATAAAAGGCACGATGAAAAGCAGCTATTCTGCTTTGATAGGCGCATGAGCTGATATTACAATTTCATCCCAAATGCTTCCACGTGATATCAGGAAAAGAAAATATCTGACAGCAATATCTAAACTCTAAACCACATTCTCTCGAGGCTAGACATGGTATAAGATGTGCAAGATGACGGCATTGGTTCCTATGGTGTTGGTTCCTATGGTTGACAGCAGACAACAGCAGTAACCCAGTAACTTGTCCAGAATAAGGCAAGGCACTTGCAATATCAGGATAGCAATCAAACTGACAATAAATCTTCTACGAGATCGATAATTTTCACCACTTTTCAGGAACCATGTACATATGGTGAGTTTTCACACTTTATTTTTAAGAAGGAACTTGTAAATAATGTTATGTTACTACAAGCAAGCATCATAAAACCAGAAACAAAATTTGCCATTGTCCACACATAAGTCCAAATAACACCTTAACTCGGACCATCGGTCGGTCAAAAAAAATAAATCATCATTCATCAAAAGGTCTTAGATCTTGTAGCGACTTAATCAGTTTTCAGCAAAAATAATACTACATGTCAATAAAATTGGTCATGGATAGTATAATTGGCAAGCTACCGTCTACTTAGGCAAATTACAGTGAGAACATAAATCATTAATAGTATCAGTGAAGTATCTCACCTGCCACAGAATGCAAAGGAGAGATTCCATGTGATTTCGAGCAACCGAGTCCCCAACAAAGGCAAGAGTCTTGCCTCTCATTAACTCCAAGAACTTAATTCCATCAAAGCGTGGGAGGGTGCACTGTTGAGGTTTCCATCTCCAACTCTCATAGTCCTTGTCCGGTCGCCCATTTCCCTGGCAATTCTGCATCCGTGTGATGACAGGGCAAGAGTTGTTTGTGTACAACGCCCCAGATGAATCGAAAACCCACTCCCCATGATAAAGATCACAGGTACCTGCACAATAAAAGAGGTCAATTCATCGTATCCCAGCTACGCCTTTATCATGAATAAATCAGTATAGTGCAGCGGGAAACAACATTTCATTCATGTCTGTAAGATGTTGTGCAGAAGTCAAACAGGGGAATGAAGTAAAGCTCACCTTGATCAGGCCTTTGAGAATCATTGAGTTTTGGCGTGGTATCATCCATAGCTACTACTGGATCCTGTATTTTGCTGTCAACAGAAACTGGATCCGGTACTGTGTCATCAACCTCTCTTGTATTCAGAGACCCCTCGCTTGAGTTGAGAGTAGCATTTTGGGCGCTGTGCTCAACCAAGGGCTCCTGGCCACCCTGCAACTCTTTCCCTGGTAATGGAACACCAGTGGCAATATCATTCTTGCTCCCATCATCGGCGGTAGCGTTCCCCTTTGGGTGACTAGCTCTGACAGCTGGGTATTCAGGGAGCGACGCCCCGGGCAGGGGCGAGCCCACCGACAGCGAAATCACCACCAGGATCAGCACCAGCGCCAGCGCCAGCAGCACGGCGGTGGAGAGCCACCGCCGGATTCCCCCAGCCCCGGCCGCGGCCTTCTTTCCCGGCAAACTCATGGCCGCATCCGAGACCCGCAACCTCAAGTGATTTCTCCAAGGGCCCAACGACCAGGCCCTGCAACTCAGGGGGCGGATCTGGAACGGCGTGCGCTCACCGGGCGCCGCGCCGCGAATCCGTGGAGCTCGGTGGGGTTTGACTAATCGCTGGGATGGAACGACGAAATGCTCGTACCTCGAATGTCCGAAATAGGGGGCTGGCGCGGAGGCAGCAGGCGCGCGGTGAGGTAGATCGGGTATGCCTATGGCGGCGAACGCGCGTGGGGAGCCGCCGGCGGCGCGGATCTACTCAATTCTCTCTTCTGGATCAGATCTGGGGAGGAAGGAGGTAAAGGAAGCAGAGGGGGTCGGCGGCCTCGCTCTCGGTTCGTTACAGCAAGTGCTATTCGATAACAACCCCAAACTCTCAGTCTCGCACCCCCTTAACTGGTCAGGCACGCAGGCCAAACTCAACCCACACACGCACTCACTCCTTGGCCCGACACTGGCCTGGCCCTCGCCCTTTAGGCCCATCAGTGGTGGCGGCAGGCCCGCTCACACCCTCTTGTTTGTCTGCAGGTGGAGCCCACCTGGCAGGCGTGGCATTCGCCCCTCCTTGAGCAGCGGGTCCTCAAGGCGTTGTAGATGGAAATCGGCGATGAAGCGCCACTGGATCCTCCCATGTTGCCAATGTTGTAGATGGAAGAGGAAGGGGAAAGGAAGGCATGGGAAGGTGGAGAAGTCTATCAATACCAGAGACATTCTCGACACGTAGATCCGAGTTCGCGTGCCACGTCGCCAGAGGGTTAAACCAACTCAGAGTTTGAACGGCACATTCATCTAGATGTTTTTGTTTTCACTCTACTCTTATTATCAATTCAATGTTAGTACATTTAATATCTTGGCCTGCCCGCAATGGTGGGAGCAGATAGGAGTGACTGTTTTAGGCACTTATGTGAAAGAATTAAAGAAAGGTTGAAAGGATGGATGGAGAAACAACTATCTACCGGTGGCAAGGAAATACTTATTAAATCTGTTGCCAAAGCAATCCATGTTTTTGCCATGTCAGTATTCAGTTCACCCAAGGACATTTGCAAGGAGATCACGGACTTGATAGCCCAATTCTGGTGGAGCGATGATGAGGATCATAAAATAAAGCATTGGTATACTTGGTGAAAACTATGCTACCCGAAAGATGAAGGAGTAATGGGTTTTAGAGATCTCTATTCTTTCAATTTGGCTATTGTCGGTGTCAAAACCGGCGGATCTCGGGTAGGGGGTCCCGAACTGTGTGTTTAGGATCAATGGTAACAGGAGGCAGGGGACACGATGTTTACCCAGGTTCGGGCCCTCTTGATGGAGGTAATACCTTACGTCATGCTTGATTGATATCTTCTATATCTAAATAGCTAGCCCCCACTAAGATATTTCTCTCAACATGCAATCATGCCACATCATCAAGCAACATGCATGGCAAAAGGCCCACCACAACACGCATTCATGCACATGAAAATGTCCACCTCAACATGCAAACATATATTAGATATTTTACAATACATTAATCAAACACAATAAAGCATATGGATTTGCAATTTTAGTTTTCGTAGTATCACTATTCACGTTCCATAGAAATCACACATCATCGAAATGTATTGCAAATATTCCCGCAACAACGTGCGGGGTATCATCTAGTTGATGATATGAGTATTACAAGAGTTGATCTACCACGAGATCGTAGAGGCTAAAACCCTAGAAGCTAGCCTATGGTATGATTGTATGTCCTCTATCGACTAGCCTGGCCTCGGTTTATATAATGCACCAGAGGCCTAGGATAACAAGAGTCCTAGCCGAATACGCCGGTGGGGAGGAGTCCTTGTCTTGATCACCAAGTCTTGTGGAATCTTCCATGTATGCGACAGCTGTCCGAACTGGCCCATGAGTATACGACCATGGGGGTCCTCGGCCCAATCTAACAGATCGGGAGACGACGTGGTGAGTACCCCCTAGTACAGGACACCATCAGTAGCCTCCTGAACCGGTCTTCAAGTTAGGGACGCTCCTCGATTCTTCCGAACTGTTCTTCATCTTCGGTTGTCGGTCTTGAAAACTGGTTTAACAAATGTTCTCACCTTCGATCTTGAGGATTGCCGAAATGCATTCGACGAGTTTACACGTCGGGTATCCGAGGAGCCCCTTTAAGTTTCCGGCCTTTATCAATGCCTTGTTATTTATATGCCACACCTCGGGTTTGAAGTTGTTCCCGGGAGGCAGTGCCCTCTTGCGTCCATGCTCTAACGCCGGACTGCATTCGAGGTATCTTTTGCAGCCGAGCACCAATGCCGGACTGCTTCCGAGCTCTAACGCCGAAATGTATCCAAGCTCCAACGTTGGACTGTGTCCAAGCTCCAACGCCGGACTATACCCAAGATATCATAGATCATCTTGGTCCAAAAAAGTTGAAGGAGTTTAGCCGAGCTTAATGCTGGAAATGCCCTCTATGGAGCCAGCCACTAGCGCCCGAGCTTTATGTCGGACTGCTTCCGAGGTGGTGCACCATCCCGACTGTGGGCCAATCTTTTGTCAATATTTTTGATCGGTGCAATTTATTCTCTACCGAGATATATAGACAATAACCCTCAACGTGTGTATCAGTTTAAAACCCGAGATGCACCTGAAGGATGATGTAAGACCACTGATCCCAGTAACCGCTGAGACTCAGGTTGATTTGCAAAATCAGCCTGAGGATCAAGTCCTAGCTCGGCAGAATACTTCGGGATACAAAAAGCGGCGTGCTCAGTCCTCGAGACTCAGGTTGGGTGCGGCCGACCAACCTGAGGATCATAATCTCCTCGGAAACTGTATTGCACTTAAAATTTTCTGCATTGGACAGGCAATGCAGTAGCCCCCGAGACACTGGTCGGGTGACAACACCAGATCAGGGGATCGATGTGCCCCTTTAATATTTGTAAATAATAAGCCCGAAGCCCAGTAGCCCCCGAGCCTTAATGCGGGCATGGGTGGCCGAATTAAGGATCGATATCCATAGTAAAATCACAATTTATGTGTAATGACTCTATGTATCCAAGTACTTTACATCATTAATGCTCGGATCAGCATTGTATAAAACTTTGTTGACCGACCATCGGCTTCCACCTCCTCAGCTAGTAGCCGAGGAGTGTTTGTCCTACTTTATAAAGCCTTTATGAGGGCAAAGATTTACGACAAACAAGGCAATCTGGCCATACAGTGTTATAAACAAAGGTACGGAGAGAGATATGTTATATTACTGTTTAACATAAAAAATGTCTTCCAAAGAAAATAGTCCCGCTATCGGTTCCTTTCTTTGGGTTGTCATGCTAAGCATGATTATGAAACCTCAGCCCTAATGTAAGAGCAAAATATTGAGGATTTAGTTTGGGAGGCCAGTTACTAGCCCTCGGTAGTGTTCGGCGACAGTCGAGGTCAAGCCGTAAACACTTCGGCCATTGTTATGAATGGCCCGTCATTTAACACCGTCATCGGATTGCCGACCAGTTTATGCTTATTGTGACAGTCAGTTTTCGGCTTTCTCCACTGAGGTGCTTAACCATGTGAGCTGGAAGCACAATCGCAGTGGTTCTCCCTTTGCACACCTAGCCGAACAAAGTGGAAGTAGGAGGCAAGCGCAGGAGCCGGGCAACCCAACTATTGACCGAAGACACAATTCGAAACCAATGCATATATAGTGAGATCCGAGAATGTTTTTGCCGAATCTATAAAGGTGTCCGGCATTGCATTGTGAGACTTGTGCTGGAAACACACAAATAGTTTAAAAGTGCCAAAAAGCTTGGAAAACCAAAAAACGTCAGTAAAAACATGACGTCGAACAAGATCAAGTGTTCGGTGCCAATCCGAAAATTGGAAGAGAAAGAAAACATTGTGATTCTGTCGTGTTTTGACAACGACCAAGAAGAAAACACATTTACAGCTCATATATAAATTCTAAGAGCCCCCAAGTGACTTGGGTAAGAATTTTATGTATAATGATTGTATGTACTGAAGTACTTATATCATATTTGTGTTCACCCGAACTTTAAACGCGTCTTAACCGACCATCGGCTTCTCCCTCTTCGGCCAAGGGCTGAAAAGTGTCACGTACTCCGCCTGTCGAGAGTATCGATGGTGTTTCCGATGACCAGGCAATCAGGCCATAAGGTTGTAACAGACAAAACGCACTCAGGGAACTTATGCTATATTACTAACGAAGTGTAAGAAGTACCTTCGAAGAAAATAGTACCCCCACCGATACCTTTCTTCGATGCTCATTATTACTATGAGACTTGTGCAATAGATTTTTTGTACTCATGAGTTTCGTTGTGTGCCGACTATGATTGAAAACAATAAGAGCGCTAGCTTTCGGCTTCACCTAATCTGAGGTCAGAGCTCGGATGACCCAGTCGTGACAATCGTAGAGGTGCTCCCTTTACTCCCTAGCCGAACAATCGGGAACGTAGGGGTAAGCACAGGAGCCAGGCAACCTAACTTGCAAATCGCTTAGGTCAATATGGTGCATATTGTGGCGTAATACACGAACAAGGAATGAAGCCGTACAAGTATAATCATATGCATCAGGAAAAGCTCCATCAAGGGAGCCCCCAAGTAAACGGGGTATTTGAATTTGTGTGTCACAAACAAAGTTTTGACAAGGAGATTCTCTACAAGCAACTTTTTTTTCAAAAAGGTATAATGCTTGGTCGAACCGAACACAAGTTAAAAATTTAAAACTTTGAGCATGAAGGCAACTTAGCTGGTTAATGTGTTCGGTATTGATGATGCGGCCTGAGCTTGATGCGGGACAAGGTTCCATCCCCCAAGCCGGTCCCAAGGTGGCGGAGCAAAGAGCTCGGCACTCCAAAGTGGTGACATAGCACGGTCAATGCGGGCCGGCAGAGTGATGCCGAAGTTCCTGGCATGGGGTAATGAAGTGTTGACGAAGCCCCCCGTCCAGCTGAGGTGACGTGGTATGTCAGTACGCCGAGTTG